AGCAACAGATGTAATATGGGCATGCAGTCCAAATTTATTTCGCCAAGAAAGTTGAAAATAAATGCCTGCCCCAACATTGCATTTCACAGGATCGCGTCTCCATTTCTCTCACCCACTGACATGATGCAGCGCTACCAACAGCCTCTCTCTCAAAGCTCAGAGGCCACAAGTGAAACCTTACAATCCTGCAATCTTATCTGCTAGTAGTAAATCTTAAAAGTCCATCATATGAGACTGAATACGAATCTCGGGCAAGATCTTGCAGCAGTAAAGTAGTTTTCTGTGACTCGGTCAGTTACGAACGAGCACTTAGCAACGTTCCGTTCAGATATTCAAAGGGGCCCTGCAACACTTTTTCAAGTGATCATCAAATGACCTCGTTGTTGGAGTTCATTGCCTCACAAATGGACTGCCATAAAAATCATCAGAATACATCAAGTACGAGCGAAGTTGCAGGGATTTGTTGCATGCTCTCTCTCTCTCTCTCTCATTTAGTGTCGGAGAGCGCACCGAGTACACGAGGGGGAATGACAATCGGGAAAGTGTGCAAGCGTATGTCAGCACGCATCATAATTTGAGTCCTTTTTTTTTTTTACAGCGAAAACTGTTGCCAGATCGCAAGAAGCCTTAGTTATCCACCAACGCCAATGTTTGTAACTACCATCAGGCAGAACAACAAAAAACTAAATGAATAAAAATCACTATGGACACAATGGAATTCAAACCCAGGTCCCCTGCATGCCAGCCCAGTATTCTACTACGGAGTCACGCCGGTGCTTGAAGCTACGTTGCAAACTGACCTAGGCAGGTTTGATGCAGAGAAAGGAATCTCATGAATGTGAGTAATAAAGTGTTTTAAAACAGCAAAGGAACAACCAGTAGCCACACAATGCGAATTGCCTGACGGGCGGCTTGTCGTATTCTCCAACTCAGTACAAACGCCTCAGGCATAATATTCGTCTTTCTCAGCCATCATCATCATCATCAGCCTGACTGCGTCCACTGCAGGACAAAGGCCTCTCCCATGTTCCGCCAGTTAACCCGGTTCTGTGTTCGCTGCTGCCAATTTATACCTGCAAACTTCTTTATCTCATCTGCCCACCTAACTTTCTGTCTCCCCCTAACACGCTTGCCTTCTCCGGGAATCCAGTTAGTTACCCTTAATGAGCAGCGGTTATCCTGTCTACTAGCTACATGCCCGGCCCATATCCATTTCTTCTTCTTGATTTCAGCTATGATATCTTAACCCCCGTTTGTTCCCTAATCCACTCTGCTCTCTTCTTGTCTCTTAATGTTACACCTACCATTTTTCTTTCCATTGCTCACTGCCGTCTTCCTCAATTTAAGCTGAACCCTCTTTGTAAGTCTCCAGGTTTCTGCTTCCTCAGCCACCTCAGCATAAATAATTTGCACAAAATTTCCTGCTAGTGTGTGGCGGGTACCACGCTTTTCTGATGAATGAGATTCGCTACTTTAAAACAATTGAAAGAATTCTTCATAGAAGGCTCAGTGAATTCATCGCTCGTCAGGACATCCTTACACCAAGGCAAGTAGGATTTAGACAGGGGTGCTCTATATGGTCGGCTCATGTTGATTTGGAAAGCCGAATTCGCCTTGCAAAAGTATCTGGTGAGCTTTCTGCATTAGTCACGTTAGATATCGCAAAAGCCTACGATAGTGTGGAATACAGTACATTAATTTCAAGATTAGTGGACTGTGAGGTTCCCAAGTACATTATATCTTGGATTCAGGAGTTTCTCTTTGAGAGACAATTCTTTTGTTGCCACGAGGGAATTACTTCGGCTTCATATAAGCGAACAAGAGGTGTTCCGCAAGGATCAGTCCTGTCACCTCTTTTATTTAATATATTATCATCTATTCCCATTCATAAAAATGTTCCTCTTTACGTCTACGCCGATGATATTGCTTTTTTCTCGTCATCCCGAGATATCAATTAGTTTGTATCAAATCTTACAGTCATATTTGAGTGAGCTTGAGGTATGGCTTGGCGGGCTTTCTTTTTCACTTAATGTTAGCAAATGTGCTCTGCTTGTATTCCCTCTATCCGTTCCCGTATTTCTTTCACTGCATTATCAAAATGATCCGATTCCACAAGTAACAGCGCTAAAATATCTTGGTATTGTTTACGTGGACAATTTAAATTAGCAGCAACAAATAGAATCAAACACCCGCAAAGCAGAAAGCGCCGTAAGATTGCTCCGCCGGTTTTGCAATAGGAAGTCAGGGATGCGCAGGGATACGTTACTTATGATATACAAACTTTACGTACGCCCAATTCTGGACTTTGGCTGCGTTCTGTTTTCTGGAAGTGCTGAGTACAAATTGAGACCTCTTATATTGCTAGAAAGGCAAGCTCTGCGGCTGTGTCTCGGGCTACCTAGGTGTGTCGCGAATAGCGTGCTTTATTTGGAAGCTAGAATCATTCCACTTGATGCTAGATTTCGACAGCTTACTGTGCAAACTTTTTGTAACTTTACGATGCACCCTTCTTCTGGTCACAGACAGTTTTCATAAAACATCCAGTTTCTTTCTTTCAGCGCCCGTGGTTTCGTTATCAAAGACCCCAAGTCATTTTCGTCGAGTCTCTGTTATCAAATCTTCACGTTTCCCTATGGCATTTAACCCCCCAAACCCAATGCTCGGTGCCAGTTGACTTAATTTTCGATTATATTTTTCCGAAAAATGCCAAGTTACTTCCAAAGCATGTTCTGGAGGGCCTCCTTCAAGACCATCTCAGTCATTTTCCTAAATACGTAGTAATTTTGACGGACGCAACGCAAAATCTTCAGAAGGCTGGAGTAGGTATTTTTTTTCATCAGCTTAATTGGTCTTTTGCGCTTCGATTGCCTGACTTCACACCAATTTATCTCGCAGAATTCTTGGCTATTACATTGGCTCTTCGAAAACTAAATTATCAGCAAACAAAAGCTATTATTATTTCGGATGCTTTGTCTGTATGTACACATCTCACGTCCGCAAAGATCCTCTTCTCAGGATATTTTGGTCTCTCGTACCGCATAGCCTATCGGAAGTTCGGTTTATTTGGGTCCCCGGGCATGCTGGAATCGAACTAAATGAAATTGCTGATTCGCTCGCTTCGGCATCTTTAAATTTCCCGGTGGTGCTAGTAGCTCCACAGTTTCCTTTTATTACTGCCGAACGATTCAAACGCCTGTTAATCTTAAAAATCAACGAAACGTCGCTTCTACAATCTGAAGAATTTCGGCACTTGCAATTCACATGGAACACCGCAAAATGCCTTTCCCGTCAATGTGAGGTGACCCTCACAAGCTTTCGCTGTAGAGTTCCTCTGTTAAATTTTTATCTCAACAAATCAGGATTTGCATTAACTAACCTATGTGCAGTTTGCAATGAACCGGAAACAATAGATAATTTCTTCTCACATGCCGCCGCTTCGCCTCACTGCGCCGAATAATTCTTGAAAGACCGATTGGTATGCTCGGATTGCCAGTCAATACATCCACCCTATTATCGTTTGGAGCCAGTCAGTTGGGTGTGGGCCGCAGTGCTATTCTGTCAGCGCTACATAAATTCATTCAGGCAACCGGAAGGATACGCCGCTAGTGGTACTGCCAGATATATCCAATTCTTTCTCCTCCTTCCTCATTCTTGTTAATTTGTTTTATATAATCTGGTTTATCGCATTCTTCTGCAATTTTTCACGTCTTTTTTCAAAGGAACATTATTATTGTTCCTATCTAATTTCTCTTTATTTTTTTAGCAAGCGTTGTAAAAAATGATCTATTATGAGGTACAGTGGGCCAATCCCCCATGTGGGTATGAGCCAAGATCTCCTAGGAGACAAGACAAGACAATTGATGGTTTATAGCATAGTGGGCACTCTGCAAATATGCTTGTAGCAGTTACCCAAATAGTGTTTGAAATTAAAGGCTCTAGAGAGGCCGCTCTTCTAAGCTTTCACTGTGATTGTGCTGTGCGTTCTGCTCAGCCCTTGTGTCTTTTTGCTTTCATTGAACACGCGGCTGACCTTCAGTGAACCATGCTCTACATCTACATTGTGAACTGTGAAGTGCAGGTTCTAAAGTGTCGTGTCTCGCCCAAGGAGGGTTTAAAAAATTGCTGGAGTAGAAGCTCCCGCAATGCCTTGCCAGCAGAAGTGAGGCCTAGCTTTTGCCACTGCCAAGATGGCGGAAACATGCTCTTTTCTGGTAGTGCACACTTAGAGATTAAGTGGCTTTGATATGCTAATGTAAATGCTACGGCAGTTATATATTCAAAGATAGTTGTTCCCGACAAATTAACACACAGAAACGAGCGTGGGTGACTGAATCTCCAAAGAACTTTGCCTTCAATTATAGGCTTACTAAGGAAAACTAGTAACACTAAGACGCACTTGGAGCACTATGTGACCCTAAACTCAGTTGGGCGTGCGAGGGAAACGCTCCGTTCTTATTGGCTGAACAGTAGATACTTCATGATACCCCTAGTAAGAAGGCCACTGCGACCGCCATCTTGCCATGGACACGGCTTTACTCCTGGGCAATCATTTCACTCTAGCATATTTTTAATCCTCATTGGTCTCACCATAGCAACTACACAGCTCTGATGCTCAAAACAGCCAATGGCCGTGCACACCTGCCGTTGGGCATGTGCCACATGAGGAAATGGCATCAGCTGTCCACGGAAGTGCGAGCGATTTCCAGCCGACTGAAATTTAATTGTGAATTCCCTGCAGCGTGCTCCGTTCATGTTTGGCTCACATGTTTGCCAGAATCTGTCGACTGCCCATCGGCAGTGTTTTCTGACCACGCTGAAGAAGTGTTGCAGGGCCCCTCTAACATTCTCTACACCTACCCGCCATGATCCTTCCTGTGATTAGATCTCACGAACATGTGTATGATGACTTGCGATGTTTTTTTTTTTTTTTTTGCACTGGTGAAATATTTTTTTGCAGCTAGTCAGTTCGCGTGTGTGAGCAAAAAATTTCAAGGTCAGGCTGGGGTCTAGTGCTTACAAATAATAAGACGCGCATTTATTACAGCTCCATCTGCTTTGTTCACTTCTGAAAAATTATAGAGATAAGAAAGCACGTAATTCTTTACACAATTATAAAATATACCTTTTTCACCAAAATACAACAAAAAAGAGAGTGGTAAAGACACTTCTTATAGTACAAAACTACATCCGAAACAGACTGTTTGAAACTTGGGTACAAAAAAAGAAAATGAGCTATGTAAGAATGGAGTTGTTGATAATAAATACTCCGTGGTGGCGACAACCAGGTGCTACGATTCATGACACGTTCCGTCTAAAATTACCACAACTTGCAAAAAGATTAGAAAATGCTATATAACACAAGGCAAAGGTTGCACCAGCACGTCCTCAGAACGGCGACCTGGGCATGCCGAGTTCAGAACAATCATCGTGCCGCTATGAAGAACACAAATGGCCATGAAGTTCCACATTCATCGGTAAACCTCTACAAAGATGGCAACTGTAGAAATAAAGTGTCACCAGTAGCCGCACAGGCAACCGCGAAGCCTTGTCATGTCCAAATGCTAGATGGATGATGTGGATCACCATGGAGTCGGACGTTCCGTGTTCGGTTTAGAGAAGCTTGTTGGTCAGAATTTCGTACACCATACGCCTCCTGAAGTAGGGCATGTTTAACTGTTCGAAAGTGATCTTGGCATCCCGCGTAATGTATTCGGCGTACTTGAGAGCAAACATCCCACAGTCGCTCCCGTTCATCTGGTGCGGAATGTCCTTCACAGTCTCGTACGTCCAGTCAGACATATCGAGTTCCTTCTGCTTCTTGTCCCTGCTTTCCTCTTGCAGGTACTTGCGCAGCATCTCGAGGCACTTGGGGTTTTGGCCGCCCATGGAGTCATAATAACGAATCGTGCTATGTCGGAAGTCGATGACTGCCAGGCACCAGTGAACGCCCAAATGCACCGGAACAAGGATGAGGTCATACGAAAAAATATCCACTCGTCTCGTCCAGCGCTTGATGGCGGTGTAACCGCTGGCGAGGAGCTTGGGGTAGAAGAAGGTATTGAAAGCATACACTGAAGGTAGACCTGGCTCAGTGCGGCCACGCTCCATGAGCATGTTCATGTAGAAGTTGATGACCTCGTCATTTAGCCAGTTCAAACCGCCGAGTGTTTCCATGTCCTTGCGCGTCACCGTCAACTTGAATCCCGTGGCAATCACTTCGTCAGCAGGTGTCGGTCTCAGCGCACGGTCAATGGCAGACTCCATTTTGGGTGTCAGCTTGGGCAGTACTTCTTTCGTCACTTCGGCCTCGACCTCTGTTACGGAAGGCTTTTCTTTCGACGACACCGAATAGGCTTTCTTTAACCGGCCTTCCAGGCTCTTCTCCTTGGTGATTATGCTTGCCTGGGCTGTTTGGTCCATGTGCTTGAGCTTGTCTTTCAGCTCCTGAAGCCATGTCGGCGAAAAGAAGTGGCTGGATGGCAGTTCGGGAATCTCCGGTGTTACTGTGCGTACTGATGATGGAGTCGACGTTGTCGACTTTTTCGCAGTAGCAGCATCAGATGTTAATGATGTCAGGTGAGGTTTTGATGACGCTGACGCAGTAGTGGGTTTCCAGGGTGCTTTGAGCTTCGGGAATGTCAAGTGCTTCGCAGATGTATACGACTTCACGAAGAGTGATGCAGGTGCTGTTCTCTCACTTTGCGGCTTGTCGGTCTTCCTCGCATCTTGCTCCCGGGGTGGTACCAAAGGGGACCATTCAGGCTTCGCAAATGCAGCGCTGCTGCTCGCCTCACCAGTGCTACTCGTGCTGACATCCCGTAAGCGTGGATTCAACTGGTACTGTGGAGCGGTGCACTGCTGCTGCAGAAGCAGCTGGTATTCGCGCTTCTCCTGAAGTCGCATGCAACTGTACGGCGTCGAGGTAATGTAGCGACCACCGTTACGTAAGGGAGCCGCGCAACCGGAGTTCGTTGGACTCGGCGAGCCTCGCATTTTGACACTTTCGGGCGAAGATCTCTGAGATGGCGCGCCTCTTGTTCTGCAATAATACAGCGGTGAATTGTGGTTCCTAATAACCTGCCTAGAGGGTTCCGACTTTGGCTCGGCCACCGACGGCAGCGATGCGGAAAGGGATGCAGGTCTGTAGTTCTGGCGCCGTTCTGGGGACCAGAACGTCGTCTGCTGCTGGTCTGGTGGTTGTAACCGAGGCACGACAAGGCGGTCCCGAGGAGGTTCGGGAGCGCCAGTTGGGCTGAGACAGCGCACCGCCTGGCTGACGAAGAAGTTCTGCATAGGCTTGCGGAATCGCCCAGCGAAGCCAGCTCTCGCGATGATTCTCCGGTCTGCCCGGCGCTGCCAGGCGAGTGTCGTCGGCGCGAAAGTGCTTACGGCTGTTCCGAGCCTCGACAATGACATCGTCGTCGTCGTCACCGTCACCGTCCATGCTTTCGTCGCGTTTACGTTTCTCAGTGGCGCGCCGGTGTTCCTCCGGCGGCGTGCCGTCGCTGTGAGATGGCAAGAAGAAACGGAGCAGCCTCGCCTTCAACCTCGATATCATTGGTCAGTCCGTTTCGCACGTTTGTATGTTGCCTGCCAGAATACAATTTTGTAGAATAACTTTGGTAGACTTCAATGTGCGCGGCCTCATCACACCATAGCGTACAGCTAGCGCACTACCATTTTGGCTAGCTTAAGTTGGCACAAACAAAAATGGCGGACGGAAACCATGACGCCGTGCCATGACGGAAACCACTACCTCAACGTTGCTTTCACATTTATACGTTCTGCCTCAGATGGAAAAAAATTGTTTGAGCAGCACTTGTGCCAACTGCTGCATATCGTGAACAGCGGGTTTGACGCAGCTCTTGAGCAATGTATACTTAAAGGCCGAAGAGAAAATAAGAGGCGTTGTTTACGGCATACTGATTATACGATTTCCATGAAAGCTTTTTTGAATATCGAACATTTGTGCTTGTAATTCATTTCAAGGAACTACTTCGCGCGCTCAGCGAACGTTAGACTTCTTCGCGGTCAGCGTACCCTGAAATATGTGCCCTTGGTATGATGCGAAAGTGAGAGTTCATTCTCGGTCTTATACACTAGTACTTTGGCCATGATATTATCCCTCAGTTCGTTTGACACGCCTGTGTGTGGCGTAGTACATACGTGCATGCGCACTGATTTCAGGCTCGAGTGATCTTAGTAAGAATGGCTTCCAAAGTCATGAAGTTTCATTGTAGTAGGTGTTAATTTCGAAGGCATCTTCGAAGCTGACCATGCAGACTGTCAACGCAAAGCTCTCGTCCACATTAGTCTTTGTCAGGCCAACGCCTCCTCTAAACAATGCCTGGGGAATGGCTCGCGCTCCCCGCGGAATTGGCCTGCCTTCAGTTTTGAGCAAGCGCCGCGCGGTGGCGCTCGCGACCAAGACTATCATCACGGCAACGGGCGGTACCAACTAGGCGTTTTTCATCTGCGGCCCATAGGGGCGCGTCAGTCGAGAGTTGTTTGAGACCTGCAACTGTACACCGCTATTTCGGAGGCTATGCAAAATGTTGCGTTGTTGCACCATCCGCCACAGGTGACGCTAGCGACTAAGAACATTCTAAAATAAAAGAGGAAAAGGGTGTGGCAGCCGTTTTTCTTCTCATGCGGCAGCACGGAAGATGCGGCAGGCATCTTCTAGAGGAGGCGTTGGTCAGGCCATAGCCTCCTAGATTTCCCTTGCCTACCGGCAACGCCCCCTCTAAAAAGATGCCTGCCGCATGAAAAGAAAAACAGCTGCCACACCATTTTCCTTCTTCATTTTAAATTGTTCTCGGTCGCTAGCGTCACCTGTGGCGGACGATGCAACAACGCGATACTTTGCATAGCCTCCGAAACAGTAATGCACAGTTGCAGGTCTCAAACTCTCGACTGACGCGCCCCTATGGGCCGCAGATGAAAAACGCTTAGCTGGTACAACGCCTCCTCTATTTAGATGCCTGCCGTATGAGAAGAAAAAACAACTGCGACGCCTTTTCCCTCCTTCATTTTAGAATGTTCTCAGTCGCTAGCGTCACTTGTGGCGGACGGTGCAACAACGCAACACCTTGCATAGCCTCTAAGACAGTGGTGTACAATTGCAGGTCTCTCACTCTCTCAACTAACACTCTCAACTAACGCGCCCCTATGGGCCGCAGATAAAAAACGCTTAGCTGGTACCATAGAGTTTCCCAATATACACTACCGCCCGCTGCCATAATGATGGATAACTGGATAGATAAATGTGGCTGTACCCTTTAGATGGATGGATGCTATGAGCGTCCCCTTTATAACGGGGTGGTGACAAGTATGCCACGAGGCTCGACAAAAAAAAAAAAAAAACCACCTTTTTTCTTTTTTTATGTTGGCCTAATGCCTCTACTTCGCGCGCTCAGCGAACGTTAGACTTCTTCGCGGTCAGCGTACCCTAAAATATGTGCCCTTGGTATGATGCGAAAGTGAGAGTTCATTCTTGGTCTTATACACTAGTACTTTGGCCATGATATTATCCCTCAGTTCGTTTGACACGCCTGTGTGTGGCGTAGTACATACGTGCATGCGCACTGATTTCAGGCTCGAGTGATCTTGGTAAGGATGGCTTCCAAAGTCATGAAGTTTCATTGTAGTAGGTGTTAATTTCGAAGGCATCTTCGAAGCTGACCATGCAGACTGTCAACGCAAAGCTCTCGTCCACATTAGCCTTTGTCAGGCCAACGCCTCCTCTAAACAATGCCTGGGGAATGGCTCGCGCTCCCCGCGGAATTGGCCTGCTTTCAGTTTTGAGCAAGCGCCGCGCGGTGGCGCTCGCGACTGAGACGAAATGCAGCAGTAATGAAACATAGAGCACTTTGGGGACACAATAAGTACGAGGTAGTACGAGGCATCTGGAAAGGGGTAATGGTGCCGGCGCTCACGTTCTCTAATGCCGTATTATGCTTAAAGTCAGATATCCTGTCGGGGCTGGAGGTTAACCAAAAGGCAGTCGGCAGGTTAGCTCTGGGAGCTCACAGTAAGACTACAAACGAGGCTGTACAAGGCGATATGGGTTGGGCTTCATTTGAGGCGAGGGAAGCACAAAGTAAAATACGGTTTGAGGAGCAACTTAGACATTTAGATGAGAAGAACTGGGCAGCCAGAGTGCACAGATACCTGTACCTGAAAAGTGTGGACACCCAATGGCGGAAGAGGACGCGAAAGCTGGCGACTAAATATAACTTGACCGCGGCAAATAAGCAAAGGGGGCCAGTTAGAAAGCAAGTGAGGGAAACAGAGACGCTCATGTGGAAGGAGAGGATGGAAAAGAAGGGATCGCTGGGAACCTACAAGGCAAGCAAACAAGAGATCCGGAAAGAGAACTTTTATGACAACAATAAAGGTAGTGCGTTGCTCTTTGAGGCGCGGGCTGGCTGCTTGAGAACTCTAACTTACAGGAGCAAACATTCGTCACAGGATGAGACATGTGTTGGATGTGGCATAAATAAAGAAACAATCGACCACATAGTCATGGAATGCCAAAAGATTCAGCCGGATAGAAATGGGGGGAAGGTCACACTTCCTGAGGCGCTGGGCTTCGCGGTTGATGGAGGCATTAACTGGTTAGCAGTAGGTATTACTAAGCAGCGGCTGGAGTATTGGCGGAGGAAAAGCAGAGAAGTCGATAAAATAACATCCCAGCCAAGAGTCGCGGCTGGGCAAAATTAAAAAGACATCCGAGTTGAGGGGCAAAATTTAAACTCGAACTATTAAGGTAGGCTAGATGGCGCATGCCGTCACCCCAATTCAAAGGGGAAGCCTTTAATCATCATCATCATCACGGCGACGGGCGGTATTAGCTAGGCGTTTTTCATCTGCAGCCCATAGGGGCGCGTCAGTCGAGAGTTGTTCGAGACCTGCAACTGTACACCGCTATTTCGGAGGCTATAGAAATGTTGCGTTGTTGCACCATCCGCCACAGGTGACGCTAGCGACTAAGAACATTCTAAAATAAAGGAGAAAAAGGGTGTGGCAGCCGTTTTTCTTCTCATGCGGCAGGCATCTTCTAGAGGAGGCGTTGGTCAGGCCATAGCCTCCTAGATTTTTCTTGTCTACCGGCAACGCCCCCTCTAGAAAGATGCCTGCTGCATGAGAAGAAAAACAGCTGCCACACCCTTTTTCTTCTTCATTTTAAATTGTTCTCGGTCGCTAGCGTCACCTGTGGCGGACGGTGCAACAACGCAATACTTTGCATAGCCTTCAAAACAGTAATGCACAGTTACAGGTCTCAAATTCTCGACTGACGCGCAGCTATGGGCCGCAGATGAAAAACGCTTAGCAGGTACAACGCCTCCTCTATTTAGATGCCTGCCACATGAGAAGAAAAAACAACTGTGACGCCTTTTCCCTCCTTCATTTTAGAATGTTCTCGGTCGCTAGCGTCACTTGTGGCGAACGGTGCAACAACGCAAGACTTTGCATAGTCTCCAAGACAGTGATGTACAGTTGCAAAAACTCTCTGCGCATCATCCTGAACTTTAGGGTGAAGCCCTTTACAGAACATTATCAAATGTTCGGCAGTTTCTTCTTCCTCTCCACACGCACTGCATACTGTGTCGACCCCTTCGTATTTGGCCCGATATGTTTTGGTTCGCAATACCCCCGTCCTGGCCTCAAACAGTAGAGAACTACCCGGAGTATTATCATAGATCCTTTCTTTGGCAATTTCCTCCTTAAAAGTTCGATAGATCTCTAGTGCGGACTTCTTAATCATGTCAATTCTCCACATGTCAGTCTCCGTTTCCTTCACTTTCTTCTTACCGATAGTTCATTTTGGTTTGGTCACCTGCTGTTTACTAAGTATTTACCAGTCAATTTCCTGGTTCGCTTCCTCCATTTTGTATCGACTTTCTTCATGTACAAGTAGCTGAAAACCTTCATAGCCCAACGCTCCTCCCCAATTTCTCTCAATCGCTTCTCGAATTTTATCTTGCTGCTAGCTTCCCTGCCCTCAAATGATGTCCATCCCATATCACCTTGTACTCCCTGATTTGGTGTATTCCCGTGAGCTCCTAAAGCAAGCCTACCTATTCCACGTTGCTTAATTTCTAATCTTGCTTGAACTTCTGACCTCATGCACAAGACTGCATTGCCGAACGTCAGCCCAGGAACCATGACCCCTCTCCATATTCCTCTCACAACATCATACCTATTGTAATTCCACAGTGCCCTGTTTTTCATTTCCGCTGCATTCCTGTTACCTTTAGTTGTCACGTATATTTCGTGTTCCCTTAGGTACTCGGTCCCATTGCTTATCCACACGCCCAGATATTTGTATTTATCTGTTATCTCTAGCGTGACTTTCTGTATTCTAAGCTCACTACCTTCGTTGTCATTAAAAATCATGACTGCCGATTTTTCCTTTCTGAATCTAAAATCTAACACATCTCCCTCATTACCGCAGATGTCCATCAATCTCTGCAAATCTTCCTTGCTGTCGGCCATTAGCACTATATTATCTGCGTACATTTGCTGGTAGTGCCTGATCAATGAGTTTTACTTGTTTGACTAAAGAGAAGTTGAAGCCAAGTCCACTTCTCTCTAATTTGGCCTCTAATAGATGGATGGATGATTAGGTGAGTGGATGAATATGGATGTACCCTTTAGATTGGGCGGTGGCTAGCGTCACCAAGTCATAATACTTAATGAATAAAAAACTAGATTGTTTTTTTTTCCTTAAATAGTGAGGTTGAGGATTCGTACTTTGCAGCGAAGGGTTCGATTTTCACTCGTGCCTTGACTTTAGCCTCCAATCAGATAACCTCCCAGTTAATTCTACCCACTTAAAGTCTATTTTGCCCTCACTGTCCCTAAACCCCAGTGCTTTGAAAAACTCTGCGCCATCAACCTGAACTACAGGGTGAAACCCTTTAAAGAACATTATGAAGTGTTCGGCAGTTTCTTCTTCCTCTCCACACGCACTGCATACCGTGTCTAACCCTTCGTATTTGGCCCGATATGTCTTTGTTCGCAATACTCCCGTCCTGGTCTCAAACAGTAGAGAACTACCCCGAGTACTATCATAGATCCTTTTCTTGGCAATTTCCTGCTTAAAAGTTCGATAGATCTCTAGTGCGGACTTCTTAATCATGCTAATTCCACATGTTGGTCTCAGCTTCCTTCACCTTCTTCTTAACCGATAATTCTTTTTGGTTTGGCCCCCTGCTGCTTTCCAAGTATTTGCCCAATTTTCTGGTTTGCTTCCTCCAGTTTGCATCGACATTCTTCATGTAAAAGTAGCTGAAAAAAACTTCCTAGCCCAACGCTCCTCCCCCATTTATCTCAATCGCTCCTCAAATTTTATCTTGATGCGAGCTTTCCTGCCGTCGAATGATGCCCATCCCACATCAGCTTCTACTCCCTGATTTGGTGTATTGCCGTGAGCTCCTAGACTTAATTTCTCTTCTTGTTTGAACCTCTGATCTCATGCTCAAGACCGCATTGCCGTACGTCAGACCAGGAACCATGACTTCTTTCCAAATTTTCTCACAACACTTTACCTATTGTAATTCCACAGTGTCCTATTTTTCATCACCGCTGCATTCCTGGTACCTTTAGTAATTACGTATATTTCGTTTTCCCAAGGATACTCGTAGAATTACTGTATATGCTACCTTTAGGTACATGTACAGTAACTCTAGGTACTTGGTCCCATAGCTTATACCATAAATTGTCATACAATCTCCATGGCTACAGTGTACTAGGCACGAACTCACGAAGCAACTCACTCTAAATCAGATGAGGCTGTTAAGGTGAATTCGAGTGGGTTGAAGAAAAGTTTCGAGAGTGTGATTCCGAGTGAGCCCTAAGCGCAAAATATGTTTAATAAGTCAGTTTGAGTGGGCTGCACAAGTTTTGCTGACCTATGTTTCTTACATTTATTGTTTAGTCTCTGATTTGCATTTGAATGGTACACCTATACTCTCCCCAAAGAAGACTTGAAATACATGCTGGTAATGCTCATAGACAAAAGTTTTTCTGTCTTATTTTTTAGACAAACAACGCGACAGATTTTTTTTATCTCTGTAGCCACAAATATTTGCGGTGAAATATTTCTGTTTATATAAAATATTTCGTCATTGAATTGTTCATATACTGCTCCTTGTGTACTTCACAATTTTACCACATACTTGCTATTGTCGTAAGTATCATTAAAATGTGTTTTACTCGTTATATTTGAGTTCTCAAATCACTTGGTCCACATCGTTCGAACGGCTTTGTCAGCTTCTGAATGCAGAAGCACGCGCATCTAGTGAAGTGCACCTAGTTACCCTGTGCAGGTGCGTGTAGACATTTTAACGAGTTTTGCTTCAATACAGACAATATTGCGGAGAGTGAGACAATATTGCGAAGAGGGAGCGACTTAAGCGAAGCAGAACAGGAACTTTATTGCGCAGAAGCATGTGGTAACTGTACAGGAACATGAAAAGCAAGATTATATTACAGTCTTAATAAGGGCCTGAGGACCGCAAATGCATCGTTTGTTGTCATAAGAAGCAACACCGCATAACTGTCCCTAACCTGCAAGGCATTCATTGAACGAATTCTTGAGCACAGTCGTTATCTTTTATGATTGCTTTTCAGCATAATTTTGACGGACGCTGCAAATTCGGAGTACGTATACGCGCGCTCGTTCCGTGGTTTCTAGTTCAGACACCTGGTTACAACCACCACCGGAAAAAAATCGCGTAGCTAACGGTGCGGCACAAAGAATGGATGCTGTCGAACACCTGCGGTACGCCACGGTTAGGTGCGAGGCCCATGAAAACGCGCACACCGCCACTGGACCGCCTGAACCAGCCTGAACGGTGCCGTACCACATTACATCAATAATAACAAAACGCCGCCATTGTGCCTACTGAATATGGCCGCGCGTGACGTAACTTCTGCCACATTTTTTACGTCCTGCGCCGAGTGGGAATGCCCTCTCCTTACCTTTTTCCTTCCTCCGTGGTACTAGGACTCTGTACCACTCCGTGCTCTGTACCCAAGGAGGATACATAAAACTTGCTGGAGTGGAAGCCGCCTATACGCCGCTACGGGAGAGAGTGAAGCCGCGCCGAGCATGCGGCTATAATGCGGCGGCCATGTTGCCAGTGGCAGAAAAGAGCCGAGCGCTGCAAATTTATGCTTCATCACGCTGCGGGTGAAGTGACTCGTGTGTTTATATAAAGCAACGAAAACAAGTAATTCTGGTTGTAAATGTTTATTGCGACTTGTGCGTAGCCAAGTGGCATGTAGAGAACTCAATTAAAGTGCATATGCATCAAATAGCGACGCATAAAGCAAACACATAATCGAAAACATAGGTGCCCTACTGGTGGTTGAAAATGATTGCCCTTGTCAAATGTGGTCCCACCTTACTTTTGACCGATTCTCGGTTTTTTTTTTCCTTCGTGATGTGTTGTATCCTCACTTTTACGTATTGTTCGGCGATTTGCCTGCACAAACTGTAAACCTGATTATCAAGCGTATCAAAGTCTAGGACGTGCTGCTCTAGTTTATGGAACCAGTTTTTGTCGGCGGAAGCTCATAGAACTTTCAGGATGAGGTGTCTTGCTCTTGACTTCACCGTTGTGATGGAATCACATTCAGCCTGTAGCCGCCTCAGTCCTCGACTTCTTTACAGGGGCTAATGACATCTCGCGACGGTAAAACAAGACCACCTCGCCTCTTACATTTAATTAAAGGTGTCAGCTCATCTGAGTGCATGGCTGCTATGCACTCTTCACAGGTAGTTGCAGTTCGACCTTTCGAACATTGAAGCCTGCTATGTATGGCACCATGGAACCGACAAAAGCAGAAAAGCTTTCGGGCTAGTCAATGCGATGCGTATTGTCGTGGTCATCGAGTTGCAGGACTGGGGCCAGCGCATGTCAGTTAGATTGCTTCTTGGATGTACCATGGCTGCAGGAGTCGTTGCATTCAATACGCAGAGAGCATCTTGGGAGCAGTGTCCAGAACTTGAAGACGTGACTTCCGTCTGAACCAATAGACGCTTGTATGCAGCCATAAACTGCGAAGCTGTTGGGTTGTTGTTATGGCCGCCTCATCCGCGTATTGATTCAAAGAAGTTTTCGGCATAGTCTTGACTGAGTTTGTGTGTCAGTAAGTATTTCAGCTGACCCTGGCTGACAAGTCTGTCAAACATTCTTTCCGTGCTTGCCATGCGTATCCAAAAACCAATGAATCCGTTTTTTTTTCAGTCCTTCTGTCACTGCCGGATCTCTCAGCCCGTTTATGTACGCTCGAGCATCCACGAAAAAACGACTTCCAGAATGTTTCGTTCCCCTGCCGAAGGGGCGCTTTGTACGACCTTGCCAGCGGGTTCCTGGAGTTTAAGATGTCAAACAAGCCATCAAAAGTTCTAATAAACGTAGATCTTGTGCTGGCACCCTAGAATTGCGGCAGCTTTTGCTTTTGTTCGCAGAAGTCCAAAGCGTCGGTAACTGAGGCACTCGATCAGTTGTACAGCATATCATACCTTCATTTTCTTGCTTTTCCCCATTGGACGTGGACTTTCGTAAGTTTGTTTCCGAGCCACAACCCTTCTTCACGTTGAAGTGCCTTCAATGCCACTTCATAACCCCATTTCACGTGCTTCCCTTCAATGTCAAAGAGGTGGTCAAAGCACTCTGGCGCGAAGTGCACAGAGCGAAGTGATCTCAGTCTTTCGCATTCTACTTCTCACGACGAACGGCCCACTCCCAGAGGCTCCGCGTTACGGGATCTTTAGTAAACCTGTAAAACAAATCCGGACTGTTATGTTTTGCACGCTTACATCGCGTCAGCTATAGCTCCCTTTAGTAACGAGCGCGGAATGGCTATGTCGAAGACGTTTTCGTGTACGCACAGGTGGAATGTGAGGCCACAACCTTTTTTCAACCTGTTGGCACATCCGTAAATGACGCAAGAGGCAACCATTGTAAACCATTTGTCTTTACAAGCCGACAAGGTGAAACAAGAACGGACGAAATCAGCAGCTCGCGAGGGCGCTGAGCACGCTTTTTGCCACTGGCAAGATGGCGGCGGCTGGCTTCACTCGCACAGCGCCCCTTCCACTCCAGAAAGTTTTATGTATCCTCCTTGTCTGTACCCAAGGAGGATATAAAAACTTGTCTGTACCATGGCTTATCCATACGCCCAGATACTTCATGAATGGATGGATGAATGTGGCTGTACCCTTTAAATTGAGCGGTGGCTAGCGTCACCAAGCCGTAATACTTAATGAACCAAAAATTAGATTTATTTTTTCCCATAAATAGTGAAGTTAAAAATTTGTACTTCACAAGGACGGTAAATGCGCCACCTTGAGGTCCAACGAAATGACACGCTGGGACACTCGGATATGCACAAATTTCAGAGGCTCCGCGCCTTTTCACATCGTCCATCCATTGGCCGACCGTTAGGGTGCCACCACCGTGTTGCTCCAAAGCACGGAGGAAGTGCTCCAAAGCCTTGGTTGCTCGCACGGTACCAATCTAACCCACGTGGTTCGTACGCATGCGCGTTCCCCACCAGCTGGGATTTCGCAAGGCTAGGTTGGTGCCAAGCTCGATAAATTGTGCATAAAAGTTCGTGTTATGTCATCGTATGGGACTCGCACTCGCGCCTGTCCACCGTTGAGGCCTGGTAAAGTGCATATTTCGTTTTTTGACATTTTTTTCGTGCTCTGTTAGTCGCACAATTTGTGCCTGTGCCTTTATTGGCACTTGCCGCGGTTCTATTTACAAGTGACATGTTGTGGCCAAAGTCTCTCATCTTTTCTCGTTCGAGCGCTTAGAAAAGAAATAAATACGCCTTGAAGTCAGTATCCCGTTATAAACCGTGTTTATCGGAGGCCTTGTGCCAAAAAGTCTCCGATTCTGCTCGTCTCTTCTCATAGGTGCCGGTTAAATTTTTGTTTTGCAGTGCGCCTGAGTAGTTTTGTCATCTATGCGCATGGGGCTCTGAAGAAATCACCGTTGATTGTAAGCCTAGCCTTTTTGAACGCGTTGTGTGATGACGCACGGGCCTTATAAGGCTGGCTCGCCAGCAGTTCCGCATTTTGCAAGCGCCCGATGAAAGAAAATCGAAGAGCGGCTTTGTTTTCCCTCCGATGCGTCAACGCTCGCGCTCGGCTGTTCCGTCCCGAGTGGTTCGCGTGCTCACGTGCCGTTTCTGACCTTGCCGCGTTCATTGGAGCAGCGTTGTGCTCGGTTCGGCGTGCCGTCCGAAGCCTGCCCGTTTTTTTTTCGCGGCCGATAGTGTTGCTCCACCTTGACCGTGAGTTACATAAGTCTTGGATTAACCGCTTGTTTGTCTGCATCGTGCTGCTGGTCCCGTAATCGAAAACAGCAGCGCAGTTGTGCGTGCCTCGTTTGGGACAGCTGTGACGTGCTTTGCTGTTCGTGATGACCGCACGGCTGGCTCGAATGCTCTAGCAGCGCAGCGAACACGAATGCATACCTTGCGAAATAAAACAATCCTGTCCAAAAAATGCCAGTAATCGAACGCTGTAGGGGAAACTTCGTTATTTGAAACCTGGCCGCATCCACGGTGAGGTGTGCACGCGGTGATATTTCGTGCGAACTGGCTTTGCGCGTGAAAACGTGCGTTTATGTGGTTGGGGGCTCTCGCCAAGCATCGTTAGATGCTTGCTGTAACTTCAATGTGATGGCAATGTTATACTTTCCTTTCGTGCGACCGAGCCTCTTGATAAGTAGCGAGAATGCTGGCGACGGTGCCGATTCCGCAAAGAAGTCAACAGTGAATGTTCGGCAGTGATGCGATGAGGTAGACTAAGCTTGGGGCAAGATTAATGGCTCTTCAGCTGCAGGTAATCTGTTCAACTAGTTTTATGCAGAGGCTGCTACGGAGAAGCCGTGCCAGCACGGCAGGCTATATGTTATTTGTGCAGCAAATGTTTTGTGGAATTGTTTTTATTAGTCGACCATAATTTGTATGTCTAGCCTTTGAGCGAGCATCCTTTGCTTTTTATCGTATTGTGTGAACCTAATTGGGCATGTGAATGATACATGTAGAATGATGCACATGCCAGCCTGTTGCTTCAACATGTTCAAAATTTTGCTGACATAAAAGCTGTCTGACAGGCATTGTCATTCCATCTGATACATGCCTGTTATTCAACACACGTCGAAGTGGTGTATTGCCTCCAAATGTGTATTGCTGTGTGGCTCTCTGTGTTCCATATCATATTGCTTTCCTTTGTATGTATTTAGTGAAATATGGTGAGCTTACTTTATACGTATTAAGCATTTAAACATTTCATTGCATTTCAATTGTACTGATGCCTCCTAAGTGCACCTCATTGTTTACCAAAACTTTAGTTGTGCTAAATGTTACGCCACCAAGAAACGATGATAAAAAATATCACGTTACAGTTAGATACAAGAGTCAAGAGTTCTCGCAAATATTTGTGTATGAAAAAGTCTCTGGCATGTGGAAAAGTGCAACTGCCTAAAAGAAAATAAAAAATAATAATTTTGTCACGATGAAAGAGCCTGTCATGGGGCACGACCCGACAGCAAATATGGTGGCCCTCCAATTGACGTGACTGTGCGTTGCAAAGCCATGTGCTCTGCTCATACCGGTCGGGTAGTTGTGCTTATAGCAGTAGGCCAGCATCCACACCGCTTATCATTCTTCCTAACTGCTTTTTGATTCGTTTCAACATATTTTCTCTTGGAAGACCTGAATATAGGCTTGGCAACTGCAGCTGTTGGGTCTGCGATTTGCAGTTTCTGTAGTCTGTGTTGGGCAGCTGTTTTGCGGTAGAGTGGTCTATTGAGCTGGTTGTTCCGACCACGCAAGATTTTCATGTTCATTTAGGTTTTGCACTAAGTAGAGTAGGAACAGCTATCAAAGCTGGGTGTTCATGGAGCGTCGCTTCCATATATTGCACAGTGCTGCTAGGCTTAGACGACGGCATGAGTCAGCACATCCAACGCTATACTGGCGTTATAATGAACATGCAAGATCAAGTGCCAGTTGCAGAATGCAGGAAGGCTACTTGAAGGCCGTAACTGCTGTCATTTGACAAACCTTAGTGTAGCACACAGCTTATACCTTGCCATATTTTTTCACCCTACCAAGGTGAATGATGCACACTAGACATATTTTCGTTGTGTGCTTAAAAAGTGACGATATCAAACATTACGTGGGTGATAAAATGAGATTGTAGTCCTGCAAACAGTGTTTCAAGTGTTTGAGTGTTTTGACTTTTAACACACTTACCGCACAATTGTCACTGACATAACCAACATTACATGGTAAAGAAATGCACAATCACCACAGTTTCGTTTGCGAAAGCTGCAAATGAAACATTTATGGCCTTATCAAACAGGGTATTTATCGAGTAGTGAGACATGAAGTCACTGTTTCTTTAACTGTTACAAAGTGATTGCTGCAGGCGTAAGATCTCGGTTGGTTTCGTTGGCAGTCACTCGGCATATTGCTTGCACATATTTCTTTGATCTTTCTTCTCAAGCATTGTGGCAGGAAACACGAAATATTGCACTTGCACACTAGAAAAAATATTCACCCAGAATCTTTTTCAGGAGATGTCTCAAGTTATGCGTGAGCGTCTGTTGTATTGTAGGCTGCAGACATTCCTATAATGCTGTTCTTCGGAGGTGTCACTATTGCATCTTTCATATTTCCGTGTTAGTTGTTGCAGCCTTGAAAAAAAACATGGTGTGACCTCCGGATCGCAAGTTGGGCATTCGTAAATGAATTTTCGCAGAATCGTTCGTTGGTGTTCCTCGTATTTTCCTGCAGAAGACCTCTATTCCACTGCCATAAAATTCAGCAGCCTTCGTAGAAAGTGTTCACCTTTTATTTTCCACCTATTTTGATTTGCATTGAACTTAGACCTTGCTTATACTCTTTAATGCTGCCTCTTTTGCCCCCATTCGCAGAGGTGTGCGCTGTGCTGGAGTAGAGACGGCGCAGGGAGGGCCAGGGTCCTGGGTGCCCACCGGGGCGCCTGGGGGTGAAGGCATTGAGGAGGTGCCCTTGGGAGCAGTTCATGATGGAGGAGGCGTGTCTGCTGCCTCTCAGACGGAAGGAGTGGCGGTGGTCGTAGCCTCGGCTGCCACTGTGTTTGCGAGCAGCAGCAGTGGTGCCAGCTGCAGTGGCGTGAACGGCATGGTTGCGGGCACCTCATCTCAACAGGTGGCCCTGGCTGAGCTTCCCACCGTTGACCAGCTCAAGGCGATGGGCCTGTGCGACACGCTCATCATTCTGAGTGATGCCAGCCAGGGTGCACAGCCCGTCAGCCTGGTCAGTTCCCTTGAGGTGAGCGAGCGTTTATCTTAGTCGGACTCTGAAATTGTGGTGGGAGCGTTTTGGGCCAAACATTTTGGGGAATATTGGACATGGCAAGTGCAGAGACAACCATAGAGCTTCCTAATGAAGGGCTAGAGGGAAATCTGGTGCTAGTGTCTATGTGAGCTTCAACACATGATGCTTCACCCAGCATGGGAATGGTGGCTGGAGCATGGATTTGCCTTAGCTTTATTCTTTCAGATCTACTCGCCTCTGTGTGGCTTGCTGCTGCTTTGTTGCAAGACGAAGTTCAGCAAACATTAAGCAGTCCCACTTCACAACTTGAGCATTCAAATGGGGTCACCTTCACAATGATTGATTGTTTCATTCAGAGAGAAAAAAAAAAGGGCCAGAACCCTACAATGAAGAAAGCCATAAGTGCATACCATGTCGTAAGCACGAAAACTTGGCAAGTCTGTGTACTACCGACCATTCCCATGGTGGCTGAACGATTGCAGCATCAGAGTTCTCTCTAGTTAATATTGGGAAACTCAATGGCCTAATTAACCACTGAACACAGCATCAAAAGGGATTTATGTCTCCTGACTTCTGCAATGGACAAAATTGCACTTACAAATGTCTCTTAGCGTCGCCAATCGGTTACAGCGAACAAAGTCGGCACTCCAGTGACTTCCAGGGACGCCACTTTCAACCACCAATAGGCCACCGATGAGGTGCACATAGATTCTTATTGTTAAACGCCAACCCTGCCTCCGCAGCCCTATAGTTGTTGCTTTCTTTGACCCTTTCTCATTGCGCACCCTTCTGCTCTATGTCCTCCCCCACTTCTCTGAGCACCTCGCATCGTCAGACGACGTCTATGTTTTCATACAGCCACCGATATTTCGAAGACCGGTCGGCTGACTAGTCTCCTTTCAGTTTTTGATCAGTTTCAGTTTTGATTGCAACTCCTTTCCTTGTCTCTTTCATTAGATTAGATTTGTGGGGTTTAACATCCCAAAACCACCATATGATTGAGAGACGCCGTAGTGGAGGGCTCCGGAAATTTTGACCACCTGGGGTTCTTTAACATGCACCCAAATCTGAGTACACGGGCCTACAACATTTTCACCTCCATCGGAAATGCAGCCGCCGCAGCCGAGATTTGAACCCGCGCCCTGCGGGTCAGCAGCCGAGTACCTTGGCCACTAGACCACCGCGGCGGGGCTTGTCTCTCTCATGTCTGCTCTCCTCTCTTTATCGTAACTCCTTCGCCCGTCTCCACTAAGTCTCCACCGCTGTGCAGCGGCAGCCACACTGGCTTGAATGAAGTTTCTTTTCCTGGCTAGGAACGGGCCTGGCGTGCCCAGATCAGTCGTCCTGGCCTATATGTTGTACGTGTGCGTCTTGCTCGCTGCTGGTGTGCTTGTTTAGTCGGGATGGTGGACAGGAGTCCTTCTGCGCATTTTTCTGCCACTCAACGCTATGTCGAAAGTGCAACCGCTTGGCTTGGGTGTAATCCAGGCATTTAAGAGTTGCTTGTAGCAGTTGCCCGCCTGGCGGAAAACTTGGCTCTTCAGGTGTCCCAATATTCGGCTGTGGAGATGGGGAAGGCTTTGTCCGCAGAAGTGAAGGGTACATGCATGCGAGACTGCTGTTCTGAGGCCGACTTTGTCGACGTCGGACCCATTGCCGAGCCTGAAACTTCCAAATGGGTCAACTCCAATGGCGATTTGTGGCAGTGCGTCGTCGACTCCATGGGGGAGGAAGAACGTCTGCTGGAATAATTTCATTACTGTTGCTGATCATGCCGACACTGCAGAACCGGGCACGGATGAGGGCATTGTGAATGAAGTGCGTGGCGAGAGAAATTCGGAGAAATAGGGTAATGACAATGACGAAACTCTGAAGCCAGTGCCCACATGGAGGCCTGTAGCAATTGGCTATATTAATAGCCTTGAGCAGCTTTTATATGCAAGGGCCTCGGCGAAGAGCATGCTGCCGCTATCATTAAACTCGAGACCACCCTAATTGCTTCTTGTCTTTAAAACACATACATTACAATTCTTTTTTTTGTAAAAAAAAAAAAAAAACGGTTTTCACTTGCAAATGTTTTAAAGCTATGTTTCATTTACTACGAACTTTAGAATACAGTAAACGAATGCCGCATCACGCTCGGGTTCATATAAGCGGGCTCGGTTGTGTAACACCTTCGATAAACTGTCCTTTTGTTCTGAAAAGACTGCAGATGCGGGCTCCGAGATTTGCTTATGTTGAAGACAGCAAAAGTAAATCCTCTAAAAATTCAGAGTCGCGCAGCAGTATACCAGAACATCGGGACTATGTTAAGGTGACGGTACCACCGTCGCCATCTTGCGAGTAGTTTCTGCTTGAGCCACCAGAAGACGCCACTAAGTCACGTTTGGAAAAAAGGGAGGAAAATGCACTCTCCGCCGTCGTAGCATGCAGTGGCGAAGAGCCTGTTCCTGCTGGAACTAATCCATTCTTTTCGGGGGTGCCGCTGCTCCCATATCTCCTTTGAAACGTTTCAAATGTGCGTGACGCCCTCCCCCCCCCCCCCGCTCCCCAATAACAACAACAGCAACAAAAAAAGGCACGGACCCGAGAGCCTTTGTACTCCCATGCAACTGTCCGGAAAAGAGGTGCCTCTCTCTCTCCTGGTAACGTATAACTATTTACAATAGAACGGCGCTGAACCGCGCTGCCGCAAGGGTTGCTGGAAATAATGGTTTGGTTTCTGAACCGACTCTTTCTCTTCCTCGCTAAAAAAGAGTAGAAAGAAAAAGAGTAGTTCTCGAGGAAGTTCTTCAGTGGCCCTGAATACCGGCAGTGTTGGGTCGCGTGGAACAACGCCGACCTTGTGCACGTGCATAGTAATTATAGATTTCTCCACTGTCAGCAGCTTTGGTTCGACTGTGAATGTAGTGTGGGTGTCGCGCATGGTGCGCTTGATACTTATGTCGCTACATTCAGAAGCTACCCAGGAAGCTCCTTTCCACTACTTCCTGGCTATCATTACACAAAGCCCCTTTTCCGTGCCTTGCAGTGAGCCAAAAATGGTGATTTTGTATGCATGAACGACAGAAGGGCTTTGCCTTTTTGCTAGCGAGAACACTATGAGCCTCATGCATCCCAAAACAGATGTATGGGGCGCAGCTGTAAACAGGTGTATGGGGCGCAGGTGGCTATCAGTGGCGCCTCTATAGGCGGTGCACAAGGCGTATGCACGAATGCGCTGCTCAGCTTTAGCGAAACATATGAGAGACAATTTTTTCATCTATAAAACGAGACCTCCTAGCACCGCACCGAAGAGCGCAAGTCGTAACACAGATGCGAATTGCGTCCTTTTGGGAGTATTGAATAATAAAATGCGTAAGGGCTCTTTCTCAGCGAAACCCAACCTATCTGTATAGACCTAGAGTCGACACCCGAAAACTAGCTCAGCTTTTCCAAGAGGCTGTCCAATAAGGCACACGGAAGCGATCAGAGTCAATGGGCCTTTTTCAGGTCCGAACAGCGCCTCCAGTGGAGATCACCGAAATCGAAACTGGGAGTCCGTGGCCTCCGAAGTTATCCGCCACGGCCCGGTAGAAAAATCTCGTAGGCCTGGTATTTTTCGGGATAATTTGCAAACGACGCCAGGTGCCCTTCAGTCCGCACCTGTCGCCGCCCTGTGCAACGTTTATAGAAGCTGTTTGGCTCTGTTACTCCCCCAAAACATGGCGTCAAGTCACCACCACTTGCACCACTTCGCATGCGCAGGCTAGTCTCCCGAAAAAAAGTCCATTGTTATCCTAGTTCAACCAGCGTCACATGAAATATTCAAACACACATACACTGCCAGACACTCCTCACCTCCCTGCGATGGGAAAGCGGAAAGCGCGCTTCAGATAATGTCCTACAGACTTCAAAAATATGGGGAGGCAAGGTCCAGTTCTTTGTGTCCTTCAAAAACGCTTCTACAGTCACCTGAGTACAAAGGCGAGCAACCAAGCAATTCCTGGAATCTTTGGCACAATAGCCTAACCTGCTGGCTATGCATTCCTGATGTACAGTGCAAAAAAAAAAAAATCTTTTTTCTTTTTTTTTATGTTGGCCTAATGCCTCTACTTCGATAAATTCTATCTTAGTGGAAAAAAGGTAAATTTTCAGCTTAAGTTCTCTGCCATTTACGGCACACTGTCCATATTTTATTTTTCCAATATTTATTTTTGTCCTTTCTCTCTAATTTTCTGCCACCAATACTCTAACCGTCTCTTACTTATTTCAATCGCGGGTGTGTTCAGCTTTCCATTGTTGTCCCTAAAACCCAAGGCTTCCTGTAGGCTCGTGCCCAAACGTACACCTGGGTGGATATCTCCACATTCAATCAGAACATGCTCCGCCGTTTCCTTATCTTTCCCGCAGCATGTGCATTGTTCTTCTTCTTTACTGAATCTTGCTTTATAACTACGCGTTCTAAGGCAACCCGATCTCGCTTCAAACAGTAAAGCGCTTCCCCTTGAATTATCGTAAAATGCCTCCCTCCTTATTTCATTTTTGCCCTTTCGGTAGTTACTCAAAGCCGGTTTTTTCTCCATAGCTGCCATCCAGTAAATCCTCTCCGCCTCCCTGACTTTTCCCTTAACGCTCTTTGTTGACATATGGCTCACAATACCAGCCGTATATTTACCAGTGAGTCTTCTAGTTCTTTTTCTCCACTGTGTGTCCACGCTCTTCCTATACAAATAACGGAACACCTTCTCTGCCCATCTACTCTCCTTCATATTTCTTAGCCTTTCTTCGAACCTTATTTTGCTCTGCGCTTCCCTCGCCTCAAAACCTGCCCACCCCATATCGCCCTTTACAGCCTCGTTTGTCGTCTTCCCGTGAGCACCCAACGCGAGGCGTCCCACAGTCCTTTGATTTACATCCATTCCCGATTGCACCTCTGCCCTCATGCACACCACTGAGTTCCCAAAAGTAAGCCCTGGAACCATTACACCCTTCCACAGACCTCGAAGCACCTC